TGGGGGAGGTGGGTGCCCCCCCGGGGCCCCCCAATCTCAGCTGCCGCCGTGGGCGGGGGGACAGCGGCCACCCTGTGAGGGGACCCCAATTCTGCTCCCCCTTCCCCCCGCCATGTGTTTCCACTGCCCAGCAGAGGCGAGGATGAGGCCACTGTGACCTGATGCACCCCGCATCTTGCCCCTCTGAGCATTCCCTGCCGCATCTCAGGTCCAGTCTGGGCTTCACGGTGCTCCCAAAACCACGTCCCTGTGGTCCTGGGCCCAGGCACCTCCGCCACATTGGGTCAGCCCTGGCACCATCTCCACCTGGCGCAGAAGGGCCTGAGCCCCACCTGAGGCAGGCCACTGCCATCTCCCACGGGCACCCCATGGGCAACTGGCTTGGTCCCTAGCTCCTGGTTGCCCCAAGAGGCTCAGCCAGGACGTGGCCAAGCCCACCAGCTTCACCTGAGGCCCCCATCCAGTCGGCTCTGCACCATCACCATCAGCCCTTCCTGCATCCTTTCCGCAGGGCACCTCACCTCTCCAGTTTTGCATTAACACTTCTCCCCCTTACCTTTTTTGTTGTCCGCTGCAATCACATTTTCTTCCCATTTTCTTCCCCCCAAGTCCACTCCCCCCTCCCAGGGAAGGCACCACAGTTCTTTACAGCCTGGCCAGAGCCCAGCACCGTGGGGAAATCAGTAAAGGCTGTGGCGGTTGGAAGTGATATTTAAGAAACACGTGCAAGCCTTTCCTCTCGCACACCATTCATTTTGTCACCCTTTTACGGCAGTTGACACAAGGCTGATCCAGCTGCCTACCCACTGCCCAAATGCTGCAGCAAGGGGAGGGCAGCACTTAATTAACTAACTCATTCACACTGTTTCCAAAGCTGTATTTGCACAGCTACGTACTTTGCGCAGCGTTACCTTTTGGACTTTGAACCATCTGCCCCTCTATCTTTTTTCTTGAACGACCGACATCGTATAGGCATTCGCAAGCCAAACCCCAGAGGTGAGTTTACAAAGTGGGGCCCGGTCCTTTGAAGAGCTTGGCGGCGTTCCCGGGGACTTAGGCAGGGTCAGAAGCCCATTCCTAGGAACGAATTACATGTACAGCCAAACCTATTTCCGCTGCAAATCATTCATCAGCTGGAGCTTATAGCCGCCCTTTGATAATTCACGGCAGTGTGCGCATCTGTGGGGAGAGCCAGAACAAAGGTGGGGAGGGAGGTCTGTGCGATGCTCTCGGGGTTGATGAATGAGACGGGAATGGTTTGGCTGAGCCTCCCGGGGTGGGACGGGCTGGGGACCGCGCTGGGAAGGTCACACTGGCCATCACTGCTCGTGGAGCGGGAGAGCGGCTGCAGACCATACAGGTGGCTGTGTCCCCCCCCTACGGACTTTTCCCTGAAAGCCAACGCTAAAGGTCACTTTTTAGTGAGATATAGTTTGTTTTGATTGACTAACCATCGGGCTGCACAGCTACATTTTCTGATCTGCTCTGTAAAACAGCAAGTTCCTGCCCAAAAGGCCCTGTAAGAATAAGGTAGTTGGAGCCAGGCTGGAGCAGAGCTGGATCTTAAGCAGAAATCATTATGATATTTTTAATTGGGCTCCAAAATACAACAGGGAATGGTTTTTGTGCACAGGAAATGGGACACCACTTCAAAAAGAGCAAAAAAACAAGGCAGCAATTCAGGAGCATACAAGGAACATCTGGAGGAAGGCTCCCGGTGAGGAAAGGCTGCAGGACTTGGCATGTTTGTGCACACCTTGCTTCAAAAGGTCCGGTAAAAAAAAAAACTGAATTCACTTCTAAATGAAACTTGCATCCGTGGATGCGGGGTCAGCAGCCCACTTTGGTCTCTGCCTTTCCACTTTTGCTTTCATCTGAGTGATTTTTCTTACACATTTAAACATCAGTTTGAAAAATTCAAAGCCTCCCCCAGCTGTCACTGCAGTCAGCTTGTCTTAGCACTGGCCAAATTGGAAAACTGCTAGAAAAATAAAAGATTATTAGGAAAAAAACATGAAAAAATTGCTCCCAGTGTAGAAAAAGGTGGCTTCTTGCAGAACTGGGACCCTAGTTTCCAATGTCCATTGTAGAAAGGCTCCACTTTTTTAAGTATCACAGGCTTGTTAAGTGATTAATCCCATAAAAGGGAAGTCCAGTGCATTAAAACACCATAATTTTAAGTCTCTGGCATTGCGACCATGCAAAAATTCCATAAAGAAGGTTTTAAAGCCTCTACTGAGACAGAAAGCAAAGGTGACTGAGCAGCAAAGTTGAATCATGGGCAATCTCCTGTGGAACACATCTCAGGAAGGAACGGAGAGCTTCAAGGAGCTCAGAGCAATCTGACCTGGGAAACATGTGGCAATTGCCTACAACGAAGTAGCACAGCCCTCATACCGAGTGCATGCCGTGGAAGTTGGTCACTATGGTTACAAGTTTATAGCACCAGCTTTGCTTGGGAAAAGAAAAAATACGTATATCGCCTTATTTTTTAAATAATAAGGTTCAATATCTTAGGAGAGGAGCTGAGAGCAGAGTGCTAATTTCATCTCCAGTGCTTAGGGAGAGGGGTAAGAGGTGCGGTGCAGCCCTGCACCATACCCTGGCACCAAAGTTTGGGACAAGCATGGGAAGAGTGTCACAGTGGGGTTTGAGTACGGGTGGCTTTGCTAATTAAGGGCCACGATCCAGCTTTATATGACAGGAGCTCTGGGTGACTGCAGTTCAGGTGACTGCTGTTGTCTCCATCCACGCTGGGGCTGGTGGCAGGGAGAAACCTATTGCTGCCTTTAGTTTGGGTTTAGTTCAGTTGGGTTTAGTTTTGTTAGCAGTAAGAGCAAGAGAAGAGATTTTTTCTTGCAACACACCGTGTCACACCTGTGCCTCGGCAGTGCATGAGCCCCCAAATACAACTACCATGGCTGCCATTATAAAAAGTTGTCAGGCACCAGCCCTTTTTTTACCCCCCAAATACAAGAAATCTGCGGGAATTTGAAAATGTAGGAATTTGTCTCACTTCTTAGAAAGGGGGAAGGGGGGAATAATGCAGTGGGGAGTGTTAACCAGGGGGAGATGATGGGAAATGCACTGATGCTCATTCCCTGGAGCCTCATCCCACATGGCCATCTCCCTCTTCCCACCCTCACCAGAGATGCTGGTACCACACTCCTCTCCACCCCAAAGCAATTTCTATTCTAGTAAGGGTGTTTTTAAAAGCCTATGTGGCAATTTGGTGTGAAAGTGTGGCTTCAGCCCTCTCCCAGGCAGGGGGAATAGCACTGGGTCTCTGTGGGGGGATGCTTGTACACGCACGTGTGTGTGTTGTGTGTACAGATCTTTTTTTATGGGTGTGGGATGGGATGGCCACACTCGGCCTCAATGGATGGGCTGCCGGCGCCAGCTTTTGCAGGCTGTGACACTGTCTCTGCCACGGCACGTGTCCCTTAAGTGAGTGTCTGTTCTGGAGAAGGGATTTGATCATCATTTCGGAGTCTGAGACGTCATGTACCCTGCTGCTGGCAACATCAGGTTGCCTTAGCTACGTGAGTCACGGTAACACAGCACAGCAGCTACGCAGGCGCTGCCAGGAGGAACCCACGGTCTGAGGTCACAGCTGAGGATGGGGTGGGACCTGCTAGCTTTTGTGTGGGATTTAGCAATGCATTTAGCCTGCTGAGGTCTCCGGCTGGCCCCCACATCGCATCTCCCCAAGAGATGCGGGAGCTCACACTGCAGCTATCAGCCATTGCAGGGCACCAGTGTTCCCCCTGCCATCGTGTTTTTATTCCTGTTGTCGCTCTGTAATCCCAGAGATGTGCGTCTCCTCTCCGAGGGGCCTGTCCCTGGAGAAGGACCCCTAATTTCACTGGTGTTATGCCGACGTCTCAGCAGCAGAGGAAAGTGGAGACTCAAGGCCGTATAACTAACTTCTTTTATTATAATGATTTAAACATGACATCTGTAGCTGGTTTATAGGATTGACATTGTAATCCTGCCAGCTGAAGTCGATTAGTAATAGAGAAACATATGCTTTTGCATTGTAAATTGTTGCCCTCCAAGTAGCTCTATCCTCAGGCACGTATAGCTAGAGCTTGGTATAGTGACCACCAGGTCTCCTAGGAAACCTGTATTCAAAAAACCCCTAAACAGCCATAAACAAAATGTGTGGGTTGCAACTGCAGAAAGGTTGTGAGGAGCAGTGGTTTTTTTCATGCTTTTCACATTTTTTTTTCCATTTTTTCACATTTTCATACTCCTTGTTTGTTTTTTATAATCATACTATTCCAGAATATCTCTGGGATGTTTTTGGTTATAGTTCCTTGCTATTCTCGGAATATTTTCCTTCAGAAATGTCCAGGGACAAACTGGTAACTGATGTCATTGGATCCCCCCAGACCCCACTGGTCAAGTGGTGGGTGCCAGTCCCTCTGCTGGCAGGACCTCCCGGAGGGACATGGAGCCTACCAGGGGCAGCTGCCCAAGATAGAGACACCCTGTGAGGGGGCTCGATCTCACTTTGGGGGTGTTCATGAGCACAGAGAGACCTCAGGTTACTTCACTTCAAGATGGCCGAGTTCAGGTGAAGAAGCTCTTCTCTTAGGGGAAGCTCACTGGGAAAGGTCTCAACCAGGGAGACAAAGGCCACCAAGGTTGTTTGTTTAATGATTACAGCAAACGAAACGCAGCAAAGCTGGAGCTTTTGGGTTAATTTAAACAAAGGCAGCAGCGGAAGCATCTTTGCTCAATCAGTGAGAATTTTTTTGGTACTGTACGCAAGCCATG